GAAAATTTCTTGCACGTCGATCTTTTTACCGATTTCACGAAACACGGTGAATAACGAACCTTTTTCACGGCTGCACGTGAAATAAAAATGACAAAAACGTTGCACGAAAATAACCCTTTACCACCCTCATTAAAAATTCAATTTCTAAAATAACAAATGAAAATTGTCATATTGGCCAAAAAGGGTGACCTATTAAACCCATATTTGTTATAAAGATATTGATTTGGGGATCAGGACAGATCGGACCAAAAGCTAATCGGACCAAGACAACTCGGACTAATTTAAAGACAACTGGGATTACTTGTAAAGACAACTCGTTTGTTTTTTGTTTTGACTTTTTCTTCTCATTTTCCCCCTAACTGACCATCTTTCAGATTGATGCATTTTAATTTGCTTGTTTGTTTTTACCATATTTCTGTTCTGTTAATATTAATTGTGGGTTTCGTTGGGACGAACCGTGAAGCGGGATTGGTCGAGTTTTTATAAGCGTGACACGTGAAAGTCAAATTATTGTGCGTGAAAACGGGAAATGAAGTCGAGCGGGACACGTGAAATTACCAAAAAATGAGCTTGAAAATCATAATTTTATTAAGCGTGTAAATAAAAATTGTTGTCAAAAGAAGTGAATACTGGTTGGTTGTACACTTTGTTGTCATCGACATTCCGTTATTGGTTTCTGTATTTCTAAAACTGTATCCCGAAATGTCTTTCGTATTTAGATATATAATCATAATAAAATAACAATTTCCAGTCGAAGTCCAAAGATCAAGAGGTGTGTTGCAGGATTCTTCTGTTGAGTAATTTTAGTTTTCATTTAGGGTAACATTTAGGGTCGCCCTTTATAATCGGACTTCACACAAAAAAGTGCCATTATAAAACAGCAAGCTTAAAAGCTACGTATTCGCAGCTACATTGAATGCTGACATTTCTTCATCAATAAAACAGCCACGGAAGATGCAAATATATCAAATCTCAATAGAAAATAGGTCCAAGTGAGCTCACAAATATCACTGCACCCTGATCTTATTAATTCTCTAATCCAAGTGACCTCACAAATATCACTGCACGCTAATCTTATTAATTCTCTAATCCAAGTGAGCTGACAAATATCACCGCACCCTGATCTTATCAATTCTCTAATCCAAGTGAGCTGACAAATATCACCTTACCCTGATCTTATTAATTCTCTAATCCAAGTGAGCTCACAAATATCACCGCACCCTGATCTTATTAATTACCTAATCCAATTGAGCTCACAAATATCACTGCACCCTGATCTTATTAATTCTCTAATCCAAGTGAGCTCACAAATATCACTGCACCCTGATCTTATTAATTCTCTAATCCAAGTGAGCTCACAAATATCACTGCACCCTGATCTTATTAATTCTCTAATCCAAGTGAGCTCACAAATATCACCGCACCCTGATCTTAATAATTCTCTAATCCAAGTGAGCTGACAAATATTACTGAACCCTGATCTTATTAATTCTCTAATCCAAGTGAGCTCACAAATATCACTGCACCCTGATCTTATTAATTCTCTAATCCAAGTGAGCTCACAAATATCACTGCACCCTGATCTTATTAATTCTCTAATCCAAGTGAGCTCACAAATATCACCGCACCCTGATCTTATTAATTCTCTAATCCAAGTGAGCTGACAAATATTACTGCACCCAGATCTTATTAATTCCCGAATCCAAGTGAGCTCACAAATATTACTGCACCCTGATCTTATTAATTCTCTAATCCAAGTGAGCTCACAAATATTACCGCACCCTGATCTTATTAATTCTCTAATCCAAGTGAGCTCACAAATATCACCGCACCCTGATCTAATTAATTCTCTAATCTCTTGTTCGAAGACCTCACAGACACAAATTGATGAAGATCATTTCCGGTTCTGACGATGTGTACGATCTAGCCCGGTTTTCAACGCCAAAAGTTTGATATAATTAATATGTCGAACAGCGTCACAGGGTCAGTAAAATACAATGAATGTTAACTACATTTCTACATGTGAGGCGACTTCTAAAATGACAAAAGTAATAAGCGGGAAATGGGAAACTAAAAAATGGATAAGCGGGATACGGGAATCTGACAAACAATAAGCGGGATACGGGAATCTGACAAACAATAAGCGGGATCCGGGATCAGATTTTTTATATTTCATTGGGAATAAATTATTTGGTGATATTTAAAAAAAAAACGCGTTATTTACTACATGTACATGTACAAAAATCTGTGTTGGTCAGCATATTAAATAAGAATTAAAAGAAAAGACTGTCTTTATAATTTCGTTTCACTTTGTCAATAGCACAGATGAAATTAACAAAACATTATTGAATATACTAGTATGACTATTTTGCAATTTCAGAGACTATTTTAACTACACTTAGCAAACCTTTTCCATCCTCCTTTGTCCGAGTTGTCTTAGCTTTTTAAGTGGCTCGAGTTGTCTTCAAGAGTGGTCCGAGTTGTCTGTAGATTGGTCCGAGTTGTCATGGTCTGACTTGTCTTTGGTCCGAGTTGTCATGCATTCATTGATTTGATATATTGAGCAGCAATCTAAATTCAAATGCAATAAGATGATAAATAGAAGTGGTATATTTTCGTATAAAGGGAAACTTCGTCTTAGTGTCAACTAGGTTGAGTGACTGACTGGCGTTGAAAGGTTTCATAGATTCGATTGTTTTCGACAGGATTTGTGATTCCATTTATGTCGACAGCCTGCAATCGAAGTAATATTACGGATGTCGACAAGGTTTATATGCATTCTATCTGTGAAGATACAGTAAGTGAAGATACTTGGGTCGACAAGTTCCATACGAATTGATTATACTGGTAACATCGACAAATAGTCGTAAATAAGTAACAATCGAATTGATTCGACGGGTGTCGACTCGTTACTTTTTTTCTCTTTGCATCGATCATTATTCACAACTTGGTTGATTCAATAGGCGTCGACATTATTAGGGATTCTTTTGGTGTCGATAATTTCAATCGAATTGAATCAACGGGTGTCGGCGGAATAAGTGAATCTGTGCTAATATGTTACAATCAAATTGAGTCGATGCTTATCGGCAGGGTTAGTGATTTTATTGGTGTCGATAGGTTTCAAAAGAATTGATTTGACAGGTGTCAGCAGGGTTAAATTGTGTTGGTATCGTCAGCTTAAAATCAAATTGAATGCACGAGATTGTATTTGTGTCGTCGTGATAAAATCGAATTGATTTGACTGGTGTTGACAGGGTTTGATTATATTAATGTCGTCGGGTTAAAATCGAATTGATATTTTACTGGTTTCGATAGGGTCTGATTATATTAATGTCGTCGGGTTATCGGCATGGTTAGTGATTTTATTGGTGTCGATTTATTTCAAAATATTTGATCTGACAGGTGTCAACAGGGTTAAATTGTATTGGTATCGTCGGCATAAAATCGAATTGATTTTACGAGATTGTATTTGTGTCGTCGTGATAAAATCGAATTGATTTGACTGATGTCGACAGGGTCTGATTGTATTAGTGTCATCGGGTTAAAATCGAAATGATTTGACAGTTGTCGACAGGGTCTGATTGTATTAGTGGCGTCGGGTTAAACTCGAATTGATTTGACGGATGTCGACAGGGTCTGATTGTATTAAAAGAGGGACGAAAGATACCAGAGGGACAGTCAAACTCATAGATCGAAAACAAACTGACAACGCCATGGCCAAAAATAAAAAGACAAACAGACAAATAATAGTACAGATGACACAACATAGAAAACTAAAGACTAGGCAACACGAACCCCACCAAAAACTGGGGGTGATCTCAGGTGCTCCGGAAGGGTAAGCAGATCCTGCTCCATATGTGGCACCCCGCGCCGTCGTGTTGCTTATTAATGTCGCTTGGTTAAACTCGAATTGATTTGACGGATGTCGACATGGTCTGATTGTAATTAGTGTCGTTTGGTTTCAAATCGAATTAATTCAACTGGTGTGGACAGGGTCTGATTGTATTAGTGTCGATAGGTTAAAACGAATTGATTTGACGAGTGTCGACAGGGTTAGAGATTCGGTTGGTGTTAATAGGTTTCAAAGGAATCGAGTTGATGGATGTCGACAGGGTTAGTTATTCTTTCGATGTAGATAGGTTCCAAACGAATTTATTTGACGGGTGTCGACAGGGTTAGTTATTCTATTGATGTAGATGGGTTTCAAACGAATATATTTGACGGGTGTCGACAGGGTTAGTTATTCTATTGATGTAGATGGGTTTCAAACGAATTTATTTGACGGGTGTCGACAGGGTTAGTTATTCTATTGATGTAGATGGGTTTCAAACGAATTTATTTGACGGGTGTCGACAGGGTTAGTTATTCTATTGATGTAGATGGGTTTCAAACGAATTTATTTGACTGGTGTCGACAGGGTTAGTTATTCTATTGATGTAGATGGGTTTCAAACGAATTTATTTGACGGGTGTCGACAGGGTTAGTTATTCTATTGATGTAGATGGGTTTCAAACGAATTTATTTGACGGGTGTCGACTGGGTTAGTTATTCTATTGATGTAGATGGGTTTCAAACGAATTGATTTGACGGGTGTCGACAGGGTTAGTTATTCTATTGATGTAGATGGGTTTCAAACGAATTGATTTGACGGGTGTCGACAGGGTTAGTTATTCTATTGATGTAGATGGGTTTCAAACGAATTGATTTGACGGGTGTCGACAAGGTTTAGTGATTGGTGTAAAGGGTTACTATGGTGTCGACGGGATAAGTAATTCTATTAGTGCTGATATGTTATTATCAAATAGTTTAAACGGGTGCCGACAGGGTAAGTGATTTAATTGGTTTGGATGGGTTTGAATCGAATTGATTCGACGGGCTTCGACAAGATCAGCTCTTCTACCGAGTGAAATCGCATGATTATGTAATAGAAGAACATTTTTAATGGTGTTTCATTTGTTCAACAATCAAACATATACTACTTTTGTATTTATATTTTTCAGCATGATTCTGATGAACAGATTTCTCCTCGTTATCATTTTGTCGACTTATGCTCTTTGTGAGACATTATTACCAGGGGAGATAACTATTGCTGCCTTATTCCAAATACAGAATGCAGTGAATAATAAATGTGATGGAATCTCTCCACTATCTGTTAAAAGTCTAGAAGCTGTCAAATGGACTTTTAGGAAATTAAATGAAAACAACTATATTCCCGGAGTTTCTATTGGTAAGAATAATAATGTATTGCCAATAACTGAGAAGAGATGATGATATGGAAAACCAACAAAACATATAACTAAAACAAGCATGTCTTTAAGTCAAAAGGTTATATGATGTGAATGGAAGGATCTTAAAGAATTTATCGATTTTATGTTAAGTCTTATATTTTCTTCTTCTACCAAGCATTTTTGTATATTTAGAAAAACCTTATGCTATTGTAGTCACAGTTAAGCCAAAATTACACTTATTGACTAGCATAGGCCAAAAGTACATTAAAATAGGCCAAAAACACAGTTATTGATTAACATAGGTCAAAATTACAGCTATTAATGTACATAGGCCAAAATTAAAGTTTTTGATTTATATAGACTAACGTAATAGTATCTGAATAATATCGATCAAAGGTACAGGTATTCGTTAACATAGGCCAAAGTACAGGTATTGACCAACACATTCAAAATCACAGTTATTCTTGTATACAGGTCAGAATTACAGTTATTGATCAACGTAGGTCAAAGTACTAGTAACAGTTACTGATTAACATAGGCCACAATTACAGTTATTGATTAAAAACGGTCAAAATAACAGTTATTGATTAACACAGGCCAAAGTTACTCTTACTGATTAACATACGGCGAAGGTGTGTTTTTAGGGCAGAAAAAAATGTTTGTTTGCCCTACCCCTACCTACATAGAAAATAGCTGCCTATTCAAAATCTGTTATTGTCCTGATGTGGAAATGTTTTTTTTTTAATCGGATATGCATGAAGACTAAAAAACATTTGACAATTGAATTTTTCTTTGCCAAAAAAAAAGAAAGAAAATATTTTCGTACGTCTGCTGTTAGGTTTTCGGTGGTCTCCGCTAAAGAAAAAAAAAACAACTCAACAACATATTTCAGGAACAAGTCTTTTGAACAGGAATAATTATAATGTCAAACTAGTGTCAAGCTGTATGTATTGTTAAACTCATTCTTCCTGGCTGACAGGGCTGTTGTGAGAAAAAAACATTCTGACACAAACAAATAAAAAAACAGACATACCGTTACTTTATTTCTTAACTTCTATTGAAAGCATTACTTCTAATAATACTTCTTTTAATAGCTGCACTACTATTTATAGTTTTACTTCTATTTATAGCTTAACTTCTATTCATAGCTTTACTTCTATTTAAGGTCTAGAGGCTTATCAAACATGTGAGATGGTTGCAGAGGCAAGCGACAGGGCCGTTGATTTAATTTACAAAATCCGACAAGACAAACAAGACTCCTCTTTCACAGAGCCACCACTTGTTGGTAAGTTGTTCTTTACTTAATGGCCGGTTTTAGTAGAACATATTTAATCAGTATATAATGACTGGTTCCCACAACCATTATACTATTGTTTTACTCAGGCGCAAGAGTCGCTTGCGTTAGCATAAGCATAAAGCATAAAAGATTTATTTAAAGTCGGTTACACATATAACAATACAACATAAGCTCTGTAGAGCTTTTATCCGACACACATATATGACAAGCACAATACATAAAACACATGAAACAGTAAGCACATCATGCAAAGCATAAATAATAATGTTTTCAAGCACAGCAATTTGTAAGCAAAATTAAAGCATATAAAGCAAACATAAAATGCAGATAAACTAACATTCATGCAATAGCTATTATATAGCACTAAAAGTAATTCAAGCATTTAAAACACAAATAAAAAGTTATGCATCAAATATAAAAGCCAGAGTATACAAGATAAATAAATAAATAAATAAATAAATAAATGATCTACAACTCACTGAGATCTGCAGGAGGAACACTGACACGAACTGCCCTCCCAATTACCAACCAAACTTTTAAACTGACCCAAAGGCATTTCTTCCCTCATCTTATTCGGCAGTTCGTTCCAGAGTTTGGCTCCTGCATATCTGAATGAGTGTAGCCCATGGGTAGTTGTCAAGTTATCTTTAACGATGCTAGTTTCGTTCCTTTTCAAGTAAATAGCACTGTCATCCTTATAGAAATTACTTAGTTAAAAATATTTATAGACAGTTATCATAATAATGAATTCGTTTAATCTCTATTATTTTCAAAATATATAGGGACTACTTACTCATGCACATAAAATATCTAAACACAAATCATCATATACCGTCAAATATGTATGCTATTCCGGAAACAAAATATGTATCTTGTCACTGGTCGCGCTTTACTTGTACTCTTCCCCAACTTTAAAACAAAAACCAGTCAGGCCTGATCACAAAATAAATCGAACCGAAGGAAGCTGGGGCCGTCTATAAAAAAGACATGGTGACAAGTCAGTCATTCTATAGAGACAACGATCGAGGACCCTCCTATATACAATGGCTGGAAAATTATTCTATCGAATTTGGAGAAATATATTGATGACAACATGAACCGTCTATAGAGAGAACAGGGGTCGTCAATAGAGACCACATGTCCGTACGGCAATGATAAAAACCGAAAGCCCTGAAAATAAAAAAAATTGAACCAATTCAAACGTGAACATCAGCGATCCGATTTATGATAAAACCATAAACCCACTGCAAATATTGCATTCAGCAATCAATGACAAATCTGAATTAATTCTTACTTACTTCCGACAGGTCGATTAATGTCATAAAGACTGTGGCGGGATTCAAATTGATTGCGAATGCACAATCCTCCGCTATAACCTTGTGCAGTTGTGTATCAGAAAAACTTAAGAACAAATTGTAATCAAAGTACTGAAGTACTGAACATCGGATGACCGCAAGTTCTGGTGGATGGTCACAAGCACTTGTCTCAGAAAAAAATCATATCTCTATACCTGAAAGTTAGGTTAAGGTACAGAGATGTTTTTTTTTTTTTCACAGACAAGTTCCTGTGTGGATGATGAATAAATGACAGGGAATTCAACCTCACCGTAATAATTATTATATTGTAGTGATATAATCATTTGTTATCAGTATACTCTTGTTTGTTGTTATATATTATACTAATATTTGTATAACAGTTATAGTATATAGCAGATCATCTTAATAACTCTACAGGCAAATTTTCATCCATCTATATATCATTTTATTCTACTATTCTAATGATAGTGCAGTGCAAGTGCATGGTGGACACTCTTCTGTAATAATTCGTTTATTCTATAATAGATTGGATTTGAGTAGGCATTCATATTTTCCCGCTTTTGTTGCAAAAGGTTCTCGAAATATTCTTCCGCATGCGTAAACACAAATTTTCGGTATTCATGATTTGTTATTGATATATATATATATTTCTCACGACAAAACATTTTCGTATCATTTATCTATGTTCTTAAAAATTATTTTCATGAATATTTATTGATGAAATTAATATCTAACGAGCGATAAGGAATGTTATTTTGCACTCGATAATATCCGCGTAATTATACGAAATACGTTCGGTTATCAGTCAAAAGCGCAAGGACATTTATGTGGAAATATAACACCGGTATGACCGCTCAAGGTCACATCCGATGTAAAAATCAATTGGAAAGGGATTGAATCATCTGATCAACACGAAACACACACAAAAACTAACAAAAAGACAAAAGACATGTACAAAGCACCGATCCAAGAGTACTCAAAGTTTTTAAAAGCTAGTTCAAAGCTTATTACACTTAAAGCATACATTTGTTTAGTCCATTGGTCTCTTCTAGTGGGGGAGAATCTACTGACCCTCCCGGATCACCTGGCATCACTTCAATGTTTTTTTTATGTGGGCTCTTAGCCTCTTCTAGTGAAAAAGAATTCACTTACCCTTCCGGAGAACCTGATATCACACAAGATTTTTTTTTAGTCCCTGGGAATCTCCCAAGTATAGAAGAATCTATTGATCCTGTCGTACCACCTTTTTATCACCCCTGGAATTTAGAATGGCTTCGTGTTGATTGACCTTTAGTGTTTTGTAGGCTGTTGTTTGTTTGTTTGTTTGTTGTACAATTTTATTTTTTTTTGGCAATAGTGTTTTTTGGCAATGGTGTTTTTGGCAATAGTGTTTTTTTTTTTGCAATAGTGTTTTTTTTTTTTTGGCAATAGTGTTTTTGGCATTAGTGTTTTTTGGCAATAGTTTTTTTGGCAATAGTGTTTTTGGCATTAGTGTTTTTTGGCAATAGTGTTTTTGGCAATAGTGTTTTTTTTTGGCAATAGTGTTGTTTTTTTTGTCAATAGTGTTTTTGGCAATAGTGTTTTTTGGCAATAGTGTTTTTGGCAATAGTGTTTTTGGCATTATTGTTTTTGGCAATAGTGTTTTTGACTATACTGTTTTGGCAATAGTGTTTTTGGCAATAGTGTTTTTGGCATTAGTGTTTTTTGGCAATAGTGTTTTTGGCATTAGTGTTTTTTGGCAATAGTGTTTATTTTTTTGGCAATAGTGCTGTTTTTTTTTGGCAATAGTGTTTTTGGCATTAGTGTTTTTTGGCAATAGTGTTTTTGGCAATAGTGTTTTTGGCATTATTGTTTTTGGCAATAGTGTTTTTGGCTATACTGTTTTGGCAATAGTGTTTTTGGCATTATTGTTTTTTGGCAAAAGTGTTTTTGGCAATAGTGTTTTTGGCAATAGTATTTTCTGGCAATAGTGTTTTTTTGGCAAGTGTTTTTTTTTTGGCAATAGTGGGTTTTTTTTGGCAATAGTGTTTTTGGCATTAGTGTTTTTTGGCAATAGTGTTTTTGGCATTATTGTTTTTTGGCAAAAGTGTTTTTGGCAATAATGTTTTTGGCAATAGTGTTTTTGGCATTATTGTTTTTTGGCAAAAGTGTTTTTGGCAATAGTGTTTTTGGCAATAGTATTTTTTGGCAATAGTGTTTTTTTGGCAAAAGTGTTTTTGGCAATAGTGTTTTTTGGCAATAGTGTTTTTTTGGCAATAGTGTTTTTTGGCAAGAGTGTTTTTTGGCAATAGTGATTTTTCTACTTTTAATTTTTATCGTCCCCTTGGTACCTTCTGTTTTCACTGTATTTTTGATATCTGTAAAATATACTGATACCTCTTCTTAAATTATTAATATTATGTTTTCAGCTCTGATAGGTCCTGGTTATAGTAGCGAAGTCCAGAAAACGTCGTATTTATTAAGTTCGCAAAGAGCAGACGACAAATTATTACAAATTGGATTCTCCTCGACTGCTGCGTCGCTTAGCAACACCAACATTTACAGCAATTTCTTCAGAGTTGTTGCAAGTGATGCCGTACAAATTGAGGTAAATCTATGATTCAAGGTATGACAGTAATGTTAGATTATCGATCGAAGGCGACATCTATCTTATTTTACAACGTGTTGGCCAAAAGCTAGGCTATTTTCATATTATCGACGTTTGATTCCACAGTTTATAATTTTTCGACAGGTTGCCTACATTGTGGTAGGATATTCTGGTACACGGTTAAGTAAGAGCAACTGAAAGAAGTATTATCAAGCTTACAATCATTGCAAAAATATAGAATTGGGTAAAAATATACTGATTACAGAAAAGAACGATAAGTTTTCAGTTTACAAAATACAACATGAAGTGTTAACCATCTAGCCAGAGAAATAAACAGCGATTTGATGATACTGTCTATTTTGCTTATATTTCATGTTTTATTCAGGTGATGATTTCTTTGATGACAGAGCTAAAGTGGAACTACATTGCTATCATCTACGATGATGATATTTATGGAACAGAAGGCAAAGACGCATTGATGACTCGAGCGGCTAAAAGCTCGATATGTGTAGCGACTTCGTTCGTTCTTCCGATTGGTGCGGTCAGCTTAATCCAGGTCAACGACATTCTTCAGAAGATAATTACAAACGGAGAGAGTCCAATAAGTGGTGTTGTTGTGTTAACCAGCGGTGCCCATGCGAATGCCTTAGTTGCAACTGCCACCGCTTTAAAAGATACATTATCGGACCCAATTTCTTTTATCTTTTCTGAAGCCATTGGACTTTCCGATAGCCACTTTAAAAGTAATACAGGTGCGCTATATAAAGCATCAAAAGGTGCATACGTTGTTTCACCGCCGCAAATTCGTATAGATGAATTTGAGGATTACTGGTTTAATACCTTTCGGAATGTTACGAAAGTTGCCGAAGAATCTAAAACTAATATTTGGTTAGAGAATGTCTATAAAGAATACTCGAGTTGTTCATCTACAATATCAACCTGTTCAGAACTTGATTCGGCACAATTAGATAAAGCTTCACAAATGTCCTCCTGGACAAGCTATGCAGTCAAAGCCGCTTACGTTACGGCCAAGGTTTTAAAACAAGTTCACGACCGCTTGTGTCCAGGACAACAAGGAATTTGCAGTAACATGAAAAGCCAATTATACAACAATAAGGGATCTCTTACAGAAGAAATGAATGGTTTGTCAATTAATTTTAATACAGATTTTACTTATGTTCCAGCAGCATTAACTAATATTTCTCTTGATTTTACTGATACGAGTGATGCTCAGTATACAACAGGATTTCCTGATTACCAAGTTTATCAATATAGGACATGTATATCGGATGCTTCTAAATTCTGTTTTGAAAAGGTAAGAAGCGATATGGATTGATTATACTATGCTTTTTGATTTATCGATGTTTTGGGGAGGTTAACTTTAACCATGTTTAATAGGACCAGTCATGACTAGGCTGGGTAGCTGTGTAGGTAAATAATCTAACTGATTTATGCCCAGCATGTTTCTGTTGCCAGTCCTCACTCTCGTTCGCCACAACTTATATATTTTTCAGTTGTGCTGGCTATTTTATAAATAGTGTATAGTACGGTGACATGTTTTATGATTGGCTGACATTCCTTTTGACATAGTACAGGGACATGTTTTATGATTGGCTGATATTCCTTTTGACATAGTACGGTTACATGTTTTATGATTAGCTGATATTCCTTTTGACACAGTACGGCGACATGTTTTGTGATTGGCTGATATTCCTTTTGACATAGTACGGTGACATGTTTGAATGATTGGCTGATATTCCTTTTGACTGGGTACGGTGACATGTTTTGTGATTGGCTGATATTCCTTTTGACATAGTACGGTGACTTGTTTTTTTTATTGGCTGATATTCCTTTTGACATAGTATGGTGACATGTTTTATGATTGGCTGATATTCCTTTTGACATAGACCGGTGACATATTTGAATAATTGACTGTAACTCCTTTTGACACAGTACGGTGACATGTTTTGTGATTTGCTGCTATTCCTTTTCACATAGACGGTGACATGTTTTGTGATTGGTTGATATTTCTTTTGACATAGTAGGGTGACATGTTTTATGATTGGCTGATATTCCTCTTGGCATAGTATGGTGACATGTTTTATAATTGGCTGATATTCCTTTTGACACAATACGGTGACATGTTTTGTGATTTGCTGATATTCCTTTTGACATAGTACGATGACATGTTTGAATGATTGGCTGATACTCCTTTGTTTTGTGATTGGCTGATATTCCTTTTGACATAGTACGGTGACATGTTTTTTGATTCGCTGATATTCCTCTTGACATAGTATGGTGACATGTTTTGTGGTTGGCTGATATTCCTTTTGCTGATATTCCTTTTGACACAGTACGGTGACATGTTTTGTGATTGGCTGATATTCCTTTTGACATAGTACGGTTACATGTTTTATGATTAGCTGATATTCCTTTTGACACAGTACGGTGGCATGTTTTGTGATTGGCTGATATTCCTTTTGACATAATAAAGAAGTACAGTGACATGTTTTATGATTGCCTGATATTCCGTTTGACATACTATATAGCAGTACGGTGTCATGTTTTAGGATTGCCTTATATTCCTTTTTACATAGTATGGTGACAAGTTTTTCGATTTGCTGATATTACTTTTGATATAGTACGGTCACATGTTTTATGATTGGCTGATATTCCTTTACATAGAACGGTTACATGTTTTATGATTGGCTGATATTCCTTTTGACATAGTATGGTGACATGTTTTATGATTGGCTGATATTCCTTTTGACACAGTACGGTGACATGTTTTATGATTTGCTAATATTCCTTTTGATATAGTACAGTGACATGTTTTATGATTGGCTGATATTCTTTTTGATATGGTACAGTGACATATTTATGATTGCCTGATATTCCTTTTGATAAAGTACAGTGACATGTTTAACGATTGCCTGATATTCTTTTTGACATAATACTGTGACATGTTTTATGATTGGCAGATTTTCATCTTGACATAGTATGGTGACATGTTTTATGATTGGCTGATATTCCTTTTGACATAGAACGGTAACATGTTTTATGATTGGCTGATATTCTTTTTGACACAGTACGGTGACATTTTTTGAGATTGGCTGATGTTCCTTTTGACATAGTACGGTGACATATTTTGTGTTTGGCTGATATTCCTTTTGACATAGTACAGGGACATGTTTGAATGATTGGCTGTTATCAATGGTTATAAGGTTTAAGTACAGCATGAGAATGAATATGTTAATATAATTTATTCTTTATTTCCCATCTATACAAATTAGAAATGTGTTCACGCTCAATGAAGATATATCCATGTTTCTGGGCATATAGCTAACCAAATAAAGAGCCAGTGAGAAAACGGCATCTTTTTATACCAAACCTTGTCTGAGTGTACTGCAGACGTGGTGCACGTTTAAAAAACATAAGAACGTAATAAACGTACCCAAAAAGAGTAGAGCGTACTAAGAACATACTGCACACGTTTTGAACTGAGTAGAAACGTATAACTAATTTATTTAGAACTTATTATTTTGTCTTGATTGTATTTAGACGGCTTAAAGACGCACTAAGGACGTAATGAGGTCGAGCTTGGTCTGTTTGTGGATGGGATGAACGTGCTACAAACGGACTAATAGATCGGTCTTTGTGCACACGTGCATCCAATTGAGATCCGACCATATTACATCATAACACGTCCCTGATACTAATTACTGCAATTCCGTTCATCGTGTTAAGTTGACCTGTTGGCACAATTTGTAATGCATTTGTGCAATTCAATGTTTACTTATTTAATGTTATATCTCGTCTCACTATTTTTTATATGTACCACCTTTGATAAGTATTTAGTATGACGATAAATTTTCACTTCTGGACTCTGAACAAAAAATTTATCAATTTTGTAAAAAATGTTTACTTCCGTACTCCTAACAACAAAATTATTATATTTAAATTTACCTGTGTACGTTGTTTTATTTAGCGTCATTTTGTCCAAGGCTACATCTTTTTTATTACTACCTGTAACGTCTATGTTATATAAGCACCTACGTTTTAATATTGTATTTATATTGTGTCATAGATCAAACTTCTTCGTTCAGTGTATGTTTACTTGTTTTTGTTTTCATGTCTTTTTGATCGATTTAAGCCATTTCAAATGATATTTTATACTGCGTGTCTTTTAATGTTGTAATGTTACACTACTGTCTCAGGTTAGGGTGAATGTTGGTGTCTGTTAAAACGTTTAAACCCGCTGCATTTTTATACACCTGTCCTAAGTCAGGAGCCTGTTGTTCAGTGGTTGTCGTTTGTTGCTGTGGTTCATATGTGTTTCTCGTTTCTCGTTTTTTTTTATATAGATTAGACCGTTGGTTTTCCGGTTTGAATTGTTTTACACGTACTTTGGCCTATAATTCTTAACATTTTACACATTGTGACTTAGATGGAGAGTTGTCTCATTGGCACTCATACCACATCTTCTAATTTATATAATGTGTTCATCTCGTTTAAAATACGTTGCCACTCGGTCTAACTGTAGAACGGGATGATCGCCCGAAAATTTTGAGTAGGCTCAAAGTTCTGGAGCACTAATTCCGATCATACCCGATCATTTAGTTCGTAAACAGACCGTAAAAAGTTACTTCTTCGCCCACTCCGTTTGCACACAGTTCAGGCCCGTTCGGTTACATTTTTAAGAATGTAGTGAACACGAGTTTGTTGTGACGGGAGCATAAGACTTTTCATTGAATGATGACATTATATCATTAATTAACATTATTTTTTTCATATCATTCGTTTGTTCCTAAAACAGAAAATCTTTCGATTTCTTTATACTTTAATCTACAAAGGAAAAATAGTGTTTAATTCTTGAAATTCATTACTGAATATGAGAATTTTTTAACAATATTTTAACTTCAAATCGGGATCGGAAACGTATTTATTTTGGTCAAATAGTAAAAAAATCCTGAATTATGACAGTTAGTTACATAACAAGTTTCTAGGGTCAGGATGAGGTATACACAATAGTGAATGTCACGAATAATGGGCAAAGATAGAGAAAAAGTCGACAAGAAAATTAAGAGTAGAGAAAAATAGGCCGCTAATATATAGATAAAATAAAATAAGGGGCATTAAGGTGGTACCCAACACCTTGACTAATATCAATTTGGCTCGTTTAATTTTCATAAAATTTTGACAAAATGTTTACTTTGACCCTTTGACAAAAATATAAAAATTTCAAAAAATTTGAACCAACCACTTTATCAGAAAAATTTCATTGGTTATATAACAGTTTAACAAACACTAATTATTATCATTGAGAAGCTTAATATTTCCTTAATAATACAACGTAATTAAAACGTTTAGCTGATTTTTACAGAGTTATCTCCCTGTAGTGTAAGGTACCACCTTAAAGAATAAAGAAAAGAGAAACAAATTGATAGAATACAATAATGAACCCACCCAATCCAGACCCTCAGTCTTGGGGTTCAAAAAAACCGCAACATTCACCTGGTCCATCTCGCTCTATCGAAAAAAAAACAATGTGTTGGGATAAGAATACAATTAAATTTTATGAGTATGCACATGTATTCATTTCGACGTTGGTAATGTCAGAATATTTTTGATTCTTCCGAAGTATCGTGTATCGTGTTTATTCAATGGTATTTCTTAACTCTCTGTAGATTGGGACTTACAACAACACTGAACTGGTGATGGATAAATCAAAGATAAGAGAGTATGATAACACCGGAAATGAACTACTATGGCCCAATATCAATTTTGCGCAGTGTAAAGAGTCCAGACGTTGCAGCTCGTGCATCTTACAGGAAGTTTATGACAAAGTCTACTTCCGGAATGGCGATCTTATTGTAGGCGGTATAGTTCCAGTTTATGATGGTGGCACTGACGATCCATTAGCATGTGGGGTAATAAGGACGTCGTTAGGGAATGAATTAGTTGAGGCCATGGAATACGCTGTTGCCCTGATAAACAATAAAACAGCACCGTATGAACAATTGTTCCCTGGTAAATCTGTAGGACTTTTAATTATAAATAGTTGTGATCAGCCGTTACTCGCTCAACATAAATTGCTGTCAATTTTGAACAACGGACTTCTATTGGATAATAATACGGTTATCAGTGTAAAAAGCAAACTGATTGGACTAGTTGGTCCTTATTCAAGCAGTATAAGTGTCGCGGTATCAAATGTGTTATCACAGTTTGGATACGTACAAGTAGCGTATGCGTCGACCGCTGTCGGGTTAAGTGACCGGAATAAATATCCTTATTTCACCCGAGTCTCCACACCAGATAATCGACAAACTCAGGCTATGATGCGTATCATCAAACATTCGAAATACAACTCTGAATATATTCAATTCGTCTACAGTAAAGGCACCTATGGTGAAGCCGGGCGTGACGCACTCAGGAAGGAAGCAGTAAAAGCGGAAGTATGTCTTGCACAGGAAATAGAAGTTGATGATGGAGACAATTTCAATCTTATTAGAGAGGAACTGCGGAAATATCCATATGCAAAAATTGTCATTTTGTTCCTTCGTTCTCACCAAGTAGAACCTATAACATCAGCACTTAACGACAATATTGAATATGGTGAATTCTTATTTATAGGATCCGAAGCATGGGGGTTTAGACCGAATGATTTCTCCAATAAACCAAAACTTGTAGGTAGCATCATTTTGGCATTGCAATTACCTACAAATAACAACTTCACCAACTATTTAAGAAATAAAGACATTCTAACTGACAAAAAAAATCCGTGGTTACTAGAATACACCGCTGCTAAATACAACTGTCATGTAGCTACTAGTTTCGACAAGACATTTACTCAACCTTGTGGGTCAAATTTAGAATTAGCAAGCTCTTCATCGTACGAACAGGAGATATGGACACCATTTGTGCTGAGCGCAATGCTGGCACTACTTTCCGGAACTAGTGAAGCGTTTCAAGAGTTATGCGGATCCGCTTCTGCTACCTTGTGTGACCAATACGTGCTTAATCCAAACACTGTGATGAACAAAGTTATCAAACAGAAGCTTGATGTCGACGGAAGTGGAAATCTTCTCAGTTTGTTTGACGAAAATGGTGATGGTAACGTAGGTTACACAATATACAACTTACAACGCAATAAGAATGACGCAAATAAAATAGAGTACCAAAAGGTTAGTTAATCATGTAAATGACGCAAATAAAATAGAGTACCAAAAGGTTAGTTAATCATGTAAATGACGCAAATAAAATAGAGTACCAAAAGATTAATTTATCATGCTAATTAAGCAAATAAAGTCAAGTATCAAAAGGTTAATTAATCATGTTAATGACAGAAATAAAGTCGAGTATCAAAATGTTAATTAATTATGTTAATGACGCCAATAAAGACGAGTTTCAAAAGGTTAGTTTATCATATTAATGACGCAAATAAAAAAGAGTACCAAAAGGTTAGTCAATCATGTTAATGACGCCAATAAAGAAGAGAATCAAAAGATTAATCATGTAAATGACGCCAATAAAGTAGATCAGCAAGAGGTTAGTTAATCATGGCAATGACTCAAATGAAGTAGAATACCAAAAGATTAGTTAATCATGTTAATGGCGCCAATAAATTAGATTATCAACAGGTTAGTTGATCATGTCAACGACCCAAATAAAGTAGAGTACCAAAAGGTTAGTAAATAATGTTAAATGACGCTAATAAAAGAACCAAAAGGTTAATTAATCATGTTAATGACAGAAATAAAGTAGAGTATTAAAAGGTTAGTTAATGATGTAAATGACGCAAATAAAGTAGAATTAGAAGGTTAGTTAATCATGTTAATGACACCAATAAAGTAAACTATCAAAAGGTTAGTAAACCATGTAAATGACGCTTATAAAGAAGAGCATCAAAAGGTTAGTTAACCATGTTAATGATGTAAATAAAGAAGAGTACCAAAAGGTAAGTTAATCATGTTAATGATGCTAATCAAGTAGAGCATCAAAATGTTAGTTAATCATGTTAATGACGCCAATAAAGTAGATTATCAACAGGTTAGTTAATCATGGTAGTGAGGCAAATAAAGTAGAGTATCAAAAGGTTAGTTAATCATGTTAATGACGCTAATAAAGTACAGTATCAAGAGGTTAGTTAATGATGTAAATGACGCAAATAAAGTAGAATTAAAAGGTTAGTTAATCATGTTAATGACGCTAATAAAGTAGAGCATTAACATATTAATCATGTTTGACTCCAATAAAGTAGATTATCAACAGGTTAGTTAATCATAGTAGTGAGGCAAATAAAGTACTGTATCAAAAGGTTGGTTAATCATGTTAATGACGCCAATAAAGGTATAAAACCACTAATTCATAGCCCCATTGCTTTCTATGTTAAATTCTGCAATTTCAAGCATTAATGGCTACTTTCTCCTAAGTTAAAATAAAGTAGCAGTTATTTCATGTCAAAACTATACCTTATCCTGACTTGTGCTGAAAAATTCAACATACCTTTAATTGCATATTAGAGCGTACTGGTTCCCGGAAGTTTGATAGTACAAAAACAGGTACTTCTGATCTGAACAACAGGGCAAATGTGCCCTCCTATTAAAATTGTATATACTTCTTTATTATTCAAAAGAAACTTTCAACAAGGGTTCTACAGTGATCCCAAGTCCCCAAGCTATCATTTGATACCAAAACTACCCAAATATTCCACCTATTGACAAAGATACAGCTATGCGTAGGAACTATTTTAAACAAAATATGTACTACTTTCTGACCGGGCCTGAATTAGTGGTTCTATACCTAAAGTAGAGTACCAAAATTTTAGTAAATTGTGTTAATGGCGAAAATAAAGTAAGAGTATCAAAAGGTTAGTTAATCATGATAATGACGCCAATAAAGTTAAGTACCAAAAGTTAGTTGATCAAGCTAATGACGCAAATAAAGTAGAGTATCAAAAGGTTAGTTAATCGTGTTGAAATAGAGCACCAAAAAGTATGTTTATTGTGTACTAGTAAATGACGCAAATAAAATAGAGTATCAACATGTTAGTTAATCATGCTAATGACGCAAATAAAGTAGAGTTTCAAAAGGTCAGTTAATCATATTAATGACGCAATGAAAATAGAGCTTAAAAAGGTTAGTTTATCATGAAATGACACAAATAGAATAGAGTATCGAAAGGTTAGTTAATTATGTTAATGACGCCAATAAAAAAGATTACCAACAAGTCAATTAATATATTAATCATGTTAATGACGCATATACAGTAGAGTATCAACAGGTTAGTTTATCATGTTAATGACGCAATTAAAGTAGAACCAAAAGGTGAGTCAGTCATGGTAATGACGCAAATAAAGGGATGTTTATCATCTTAAAAACGGTATTGTATATTGCATTGTTTAAAATGAGGAGTATTAAAAGCTTAGTTTAAGGATGTTTGCTTGTTTTTAACTTATATAATATATGATATTTGAAATTCTCTGGTTTTATCAATTCGGTGCTATTAAAAGTTTTGCCCGCTAACCCCTACTTTTCTTTTTATCGCTTAATAAAATATAGTTTGAAAAGTCATTTTTGTAAATCTTATGAAATCCTTGTTATTTTTTCATAGTTTATAAAAGAAAAAAGGTGCCAATGTTAAATATATGAAAAATCTAGAGAGAATCATTTCCCGCCAAATGTTCAATGGCTTCTATCTACAATAAACAAGCTCACGTATCTTGCATTTTTTTTCTTCCTCAATTTATGACCTATCAATTTATAACAGTCATTTAACAATTTTTTTTATTTTTAATCAGAGTCGCAAACATCCTTAAAGTAGTATCGAGCGTTAAAAAGATTATAAAGTAGAATGTCCTTTTTCTGTTCTGTTATTTCAAGATATAATTTGGTTGAAATTAAGGGGAGCTTACTCCGTAATTTGCTATCATAAACCAAAAGTTATCTTAGAGATTTCTCGAATTACCAGATACGCAGAATCGACAGACTACCATTTATGAGTGTAACTTTAAAATAGGATGGTTGGGTCGGCGGTTTTTTTTCGGCCATGTTTTGATATTCTCCTTATTGCATGATTCTTACATACACTGGTACTTCACTATGATTTCTTATACCATGTATACAGATGTACAATATTTTACAGGTAGGGACTTATCCTTTAGATGGTTCAACCATTGACCTCGATGTGAACAAAATAGTAGAACCGGAAAGAATAGATCTGCCGTCTGTCTGTCCAAACGAGAAGGCGTGTAGTATGTGTAAAACAACTGAAACTGGTTCGACGCCATCGCCTGCTCTTGTCAGGTAAATAACATCAGCAAGTGTATCGACCCCAGTTTTTGGTGGAGTTCCTGTTACTCATTCTTTAGTTTTTAGCTCTCGTCGTAAACTATTTCAAAAATCTTCTCCTCTGAAACTACTGGGCCAAATACCTTCAAACTTTAACTAAATGTTCCTTAGGTATCTAGTTTATAAATTGTATCCGAAGTTTTGATCCATCGACAAACATGGCCGCCATGGCTAAAAATAGAACATAGGGGTCAAATGCAGTTTTTGGCTTATATCTCAAAAACTAAAGCTTTTAGAGCAAATCTGACATGAGGTAAAATTGTTCAATTGGTCAAGATCTATCAGCTCTGAAATTTTCAGACGAATCGAACAACCCATTGTTGGGTTGCTGCCACCGAATTGGTAGTTTTAACAAAATTTTGCAGTTTTTTGTTATTATTTTGAATATTATTATAGATATATATAAACTGTAAGCAGCAATAATGTACAGCAAAGTAAGATCTACAAAAAAGTTAAATGACCATAATTGTCAATTGACCTCTTAAGGAGTTATTGCCCTTTAAAGACAATTTTACACAATTTGTTCATCAAGTTTGCTAACATTTAAAAATCTTCTCCTCTGAAATACAGGTGAGCGATTCAGGCTCTTGAGAGCCTCTTGTTTATGTTGTGTGTTGTGTACTGTTGTTTGTATGTTGGTCTTTTCCTTTTTAGTCATGGCGTTGTCAGTTCATTTTCGACTTGTGAGTTTGGATGTCACTTTGGTATCTCTTGCCTCTCTTGTAATACTACAAAGATATGGAAAGAGAGGTCTTCATTTGTAGGACTAACATCCATGGCGGGTTCCAGATCTATGGCAAATTTCAAATCTATGGTAAATATGACGTCATGCATCCCAAATCTATGGCAGATATTTTAGAATCCAAATATATGGCAATTTTTCTACGTTCCTAATCTATGGCGGATTTCTAGTTTCCAATTTTATGGCAGATTTTCTGTAAATGGAGGACAGGTCAATACATATCTGACCAATTACTTATTTAAACAAGTGGCTGATTTCTCAATCAATCTTAATTTTTCCAACAGTACAGTAATTCGACATAAAATTTAAATATTTAAAATATAGCTGAAGATGATGTAGGTAGTTATTAGAAATCTATGAATTTTTTTTTTTTAGTTTTCAAGTCTCAAGAAAGATTATTTGCTACAATAGTATAGGTAGTCGCTGTGGAGTGATTTATTTTATTACCACTGAGATCGATTGATACCTCCTTGAAGAGATATTTTTTATGTGGAGTGGCTAAGTCGTTACTTTTTTTGTACAAATGCCAGTAGAATTTGAATTGTAAAAATAGTTTTCTAAATATGTTTGTACCATTCTATCATTTTTGCTGATCCCCATGTATGATTTTTTTCTTTTGACTTGCAAATGAAGAGTACTTTTGCATAGTCCCTCCAAAACGCTTCTGGATTTGGATCCTTGGAAATAAGTTGGCCTATTTTTCTCTCCGATAATTTTTATAAAAAAAAACTGTCTTCTGGAATGGTATTCTAATCTATGTGTTATGCCATCGTTAACGGTTTCATATTTTATAGTTTACCCGTTACCTCGAAAAATTAGGCAATTGCAAAATCTGCCATAGATTTGGAGAAAACAAAAAACTGCCATAGATTTATAAATGATTTGTATTGCGTTTGTGACGTCATATTTGCCATAGATTTGAAATCTGCCATAGGTGTGGAACCCACCATAGATTTGAGTCCTACATATTTATTATAGAACTCTTTTTTATTTCATTTTCTCTTCCTTTTTTTTCTTGGCCGATTTTTCTCTATTCTGTTAAACCCATCCATACTTTCATTCTATAAGTCACATGATAACGTACCATCGTCTGCTTGTGTCCGACATGAAATATATACAATACGATAGGTCACATGACAATCCCATCGTCTGCTAGTGTCAGACATGAAATGTATACCATACGATAGGTCACATGATATTGGTTCATCGTCTGATAGTGTCAGACATGAAATGTATACAATACGATAGGTCACATGATATTGGTTCATCGTCAGTAAATACTGTTATCAGTGCATGAAACGAAATGAAATTACATAGGTCACGTGTTTAATTTTTCAAGATATTGGATATTGATTTGTCTGGTCTTTGCTGATTAAAAGTGTAAACTTGGACAGACTTGAAAGTGTTTTTATCCTATTCAGCTTGAACAGACTTTAAAGTGTCCTTGTCATAATCAACTTGGGTAGGCTTGAAAGTGTTTTTTTCATAATCAAATTGGACAGCCTTGACAGTGTCTTTGTCATAATTGATTTAAACAGACTTGACAGTGTCTTTGTCCATGTCAACTAAGATGACTAACCAGATGTACATTTCGACAATGAATGTCTCTTTATTTTAAAATAATCTCTAATAAAAAATACTGACTAAATGCTTTGGGAATTAAGAATTAACGACAAATATGCTACTTGTTGCGTTTCTCGTCTTTTGAACCTTTTACCATAAAGTGTCATGATTTCTCTAGTCTATATTTTCTGCTTCCAAAACTTATGGTCACGTGGTTATTCCGGATACTCGTGTCATTCTTATATGTTTTCTGCTTTTAAAAGTTTTAGTCACGTGGTAATTCTGAATAACCGTGTCATTCGTACCAATATCGCCATCATCAATTTGTTTGAAAAAAAAATGAAATTTCAAAACAATTTAACATTGACATTTATAGTGCAATATTGAAGATAAGTCTGACGAGCGCCAATGGTGTGTCTGATTTAACGAGAGACTGACGTACCAGTCATAAACCAGACATATTTAATGATTCTTACTACATATTTTACAGTGAGGAAGATGGCGGTACTGTTATAGCATTAGGAGTTGTAGTTGGGATCTTAGTGTTGATTCTATTGGTTGTCATGGTATTGTGTTATCGCAAAATTAAAGGTAAGGTTTATCTTAGCGACTATATAACAAATGTTTCCGGTGTATTAAGGAGGTTTTTTTCTTTCATTTGGTTCTAGGATTTATTTGCCATGTAAGTTGTTTTTGAAAATAAATAGAGAATATCATATGGCTTTTTTCAATATCACATCCGTATCAACCCGAGACACCAATATGATCCCAAGAGCTCTGCTCGAGGAATTATATTAGTTGAGGGTTGATACGGTGTGTGATATTAAAAAAGCCATATCATATACACTTTATTATATACCCCAAGTAGATGTTTTTCACGCGACTGATTAGGGGTTTGATAAAGCCTTTGAAACCATGACTGATATCGATATCATCACGGATGGCTGATACAGCACGAATGCCATTGATCGTATTACACATACAATTTATCTGTATTTACTACTAAGTATATAATAAATAAATATTATCCATAAGTTTGATGCTTATTTTGTGAGGTATACGTCCATGAAGTAGCAACCCAAAATGTTTTTCGTTTGTTTGTGTAGGGGTGTTTTATTTTGGTTTTTTTTTTTTCGCTTTTATAGGATGTTGAGTTTTTGCTTTTTATTTAGTATGTCTTTTTGTTGTTGCTGTTAGGGGGTAACTGATTTTATCTACAATTTATTTTCTACCTTAATTATTCCCTTTTATTATAGGAGAAGGGGTGAAGGAAGACTATAACTACCTGAACGTAATTGAGGATCCGAAATATAAACACGTGACAAATGTGACCAATCATAGTCGTGAAGGTCAAAGCAACGGGGCATATTCTAAAGAGGACACCACAACTGATACTATGCGTCCTTCACCACGAAATGCCGAGTCATATCTAAGCCCGAGTAGTTTAACAAGAGATACATATCTCATGCCTTATGCTGAACAATCTAACAAAAGTGATACAGAGCTTAAAAAGGTAGAGCTTGCATATGCCAGTAACTCTGAGCCAGGGAGAGCAGAAATGTCGTATATGAGTGAAACTGAGTTGAAGAATGTTGAAGGATCGAAAGGTATTAGTACAGAGCTGAAACGTGAAATTCAAAGAACTGGTATACCAGCCTTGCCAACTAGGCCGTCAGCCAATACGTTGGAATATCCAGGATCTACTTTGCCATCAGGCAATAATACAGAAACCTCAAATTCAACTCCACCACCACCTTCACATTCTTCCAATGTCCATCATGTTACTCCTGTATCACACACAGTAACACAACAAACATCAAAAGTGCAGGACTCACCACCGCTAGCTCCATCACATACAAGACCTCAGCAGGTAGCAGTTGTGTCAGGTATTCCGAAGACATGAAACGAAATTAGCAGTACATTGAAATGCTGGTTAAAAACTTGAAGTATAATGACATCAATCAATGTTGGTAGTTTTGTGATATATTTTAATACATGTTATACAAGCAATATATAAATAATAACAATTGGAACCCCCCTTTTTTAATGATCAATGACATTACCTGAAAAACCCAAAACCTTATATTTATCTGGTAACTTGAACCCAGCCTAAGTGTGGTATTCAATATGTGGGACAGACGGGACGAGCCTATTACAAAAGAAATCAAGAGCACCTTTACCGCTTTCGAAGACAGAAAAAATTCAAAAGAGTGGATATACCAACATTTAGATAAGCATAATCACAATCTAAAATTTATAAAATTCCAACCACGTGAAACCGTTCAGAAACAACCAGGACAATCACACAAACACTTTGAAAAAATCCGTGAATTTCGCGAACTATTTTGGATAAAAAGACTTCAAACAGCTTATCCTCTCGGTCTCAATGACAATATTGGGACAGGGGAACATATCTAAAACTTCTATCAATGTAATGAATATTGTCGATAAACGGCTAAGAAATAATAGGTCTCATGGTAACCGTAAAAACTGTAGTCTACGTATTAAACATCGTATAAATTATACACTTGCTGATCTGTTATCTATAATAAAAAATAATGGTAGATTATGCAAACTTGGTCGTATACCAATAAGTAAATTATATGATATTTTTCTGGAGTGTGGTAAAATTTCATTTTTCAGCCCGTTGTATGAATACACCCGTATTATTACAGCCTTTTGTCATCACCGGCTGTTTCCTAGTATCGATAAACCTGAAAATCACAAACGGCATTTTTTTAAATTAAAATATACAAATAGAGGTATTGATTTTATTAACTTATCTAGTATATCCAATGACTTTACCATCCATAGCCAAATACCTCCATATTTTGATAATACAGAACCACATATTATTTCGTATTCGTACAAAAAAAACAGTAGAAGTTTGATTTTTGATTATACGTCTGTTACATCAGACGTCAATATAGAAAGAAATGCTCCTTCCACTTGAGACTGTGAAACATCGAGTTTTAGATATGTTCCCTATGGTCATGTCCTTACAGGAGACCTCAACATCGTTGAAAACTTTGAGGTCAACGCTTTTCTAAAGAAAGGACCTAAATATCGTCCTCTATCTATTATATATATTGGAAACAGTGTCGTCAGGCCATTAAAGACGCACTGTCTGCCTACTGTAAAAATTGGTGTAAACGTGAAAAATCTGATAAAAAATCACTAGACAGTTATTTGAATAAAATTATGAATACTGTTGATATTCGTATATCTCATTTTTAAAACAATTCTGAAATTGATAATAGCTAGGGTTCATGATATACCCATTTCTAGAATAAAAAATAAACTCCAAGTACTTGCAAAGCGGTTTGTGTTCGTACCGGCAGACAAAGCAGCCAATAATGTGGTGGTGGTGTGACGCATATACTACACGGAAGTTCTCCAAAACTCAATTCTTCTACATTCAGGTCCTTGCACTCCGCAGAGAGTCAAATTGTAAACAAGCATATCACTGCCACTACCCAGCTTAAAGCCTCTTCCGAACATTTGAAAGTCCCGACTATGTACTGGTTACCTAAATTACACAAACAACCATTTAAATTTTGTTTCATCTCCGCATCTAGTAAGTGTTCTACTACTAATCTGTCAGTGCTTCTAATTACCTCCCTTACTACTATCAAAGAACTTGTAATTAACTTTTGCAATAAAGTTTATGAAAATAATGGTATTAATCATTTTTGGAGTGTAAAATATTCTTTAGAGGTTTTAGATAAAATACGTGCTTTTGATGGTCCCTTTAATTCTGTTTATAGTTATGTTTTTTCTACTCTTTAAACTTCTCTTTCACACAATATTATCAAGAATAAGTTTTCATATTTAATTAAATGGTCTTTTGAAAAATCTCATTGCAAACTCAGTAAAGACACATCATTGTTACATTTGGTTGACACATTCAACAATACTTAACATTATCTTGATGATATTTTTTCGTTAAATAATCCAAAGTTCTTTAGATATACTACCGAAATTTACCCAAAGGAACTTACTTTGAATAAATCTAATATAAACAGCAGTAGTAGTCCTCTTCTAGATTGAGACATTTCAATTTCTAAAGGGAAACTCCATACTAAAATTTACGACAAAAGAGACGATTTTTCATTCCCTATTGTTAATTTTCCTTTTTTAGACGGCGATGTTTGGCTCCATCATACGGTGTTTATATATCCCAACTCGTTCGTTATGCCCGTGTGTGTAGTGATGTCATAGATTTTAACGAACATAATCAATGCATCACTGGTAAATTATTAAGTCAGGGATTTCTTTACCATAAATATACTTAAAACATTTACTAAATTCTTTCATAGATTCAATGATTTGATTAGTAAATTTGGCTGTACCTATAGAAAACTTATTAAAAATGGTATTTCACATCCTAAATTTTGCAGTAATATTGTACTAAAAGCGCAGAAATCACTATATGATCCCTGTAAACTCATCGAACCTTTAAACAAACTTATTAGTAAGGTTATCTTATTGTTGTAATAAGATCTTTGAATATTGTTTACATTGGCACTGACATCGATTTTGTCATCAACAAATTGAAACATAACTAAATTTGTATTCTTTTCGAATGTTTTTTTTTTTTTTTTTTTTTTTTTTTTTGATGTATAAATACACATCTCCGTTTATTTTCTATCCTATTGCCTGTCGATACTTTTATTTTAGCATTGTACAAGTCATGTCTTACACTAAACACTAAATCCCTGGGATGTGTTTTAATTGATTTTAGTCTCAGATGCATGATTTTTTATTATTAATTGTTTTTGGCTTTTAACTAGCTTTCAGTAACCATGGTAACTGCGAGTACTCTCAAATCGTACTTTTAATTTGACCTGTTGACACAATTTGTAATGCATTTTTGTTAATCAATGTTTACTTATTTTGTGTTATATCTCGTCTCACTATTTTAGTATGACGATAAATTTTCACTTGTGTACTCGTACTGTGAACAACTAATTTATTTGTTTTGTAAAAAATATTTTGGTACACCTAACAACAAAATTATCATATTTAAATTTACCTGTGTACGTTATTTTATTTAACGCCATTTTGTCCCAGGTTAGAGTTAAAATTTTGACATTGTTTCATATCTTTTTAGCTAACCTTTCCTTGAAAAGGAAATGTGAACTTTTGCCATCACTTGGCGTTCGTCGTCGTCTGTCGTACGTCCGGAGTAAACTAGTTCAAATATCTTCTCATCTGAAACAACTGAACCAATTCCAACCAAACTTAAGCTGAATAATCCTTAGGGTATCTAGAATAAATTTTGTGTTTTATTTTCTGTTTCCTCAGAAAACATGGCCGCCATTGATAAAAATAGAACATAGGGTAAAATGCAGTTTTTGACTTATATTTAAAAACTAAAGATTTAAAGCAAATCAGACAAGAAGTTAAAGTATTCATTATGTCAAGGTCTACCTGCCCTGAAATTATCAGCCAAATAGGGTATCTGAATTTTAGGCTATTGCCCCTGAATTGATGATTGTAAGGAAATTTCACAATTTTCGGTTATTATCTTGAATATTATTACAGATAAAGATAAACTGTAAACAGCAAAAATGTTCAGCAAAGTAAGATCTACAAATAAGTTTTTCTATGACCAAAATTGTCAATTGACCCCTTAAGGAGTTATTGTCTTTTAAAGACAATTTTTCGCAATTTGTTCATCTAGTTTGCTTACTTTGAAAAATCTTCTCCTTTGAAATACAGGTGAGCGATTCAGGCTCTTGAGAGCCTCTTGTTTATGTTGTGTGTTGTGTACTGTTGTTTGTATGTTGGTCTTTTCCTTTTTAGTCATGGCGTTGTCAGTTCATTTTCGACTTGTGAGTTTGGATGTCACTTTGGTATCTCTTGCCTCTCTTGTAATACTACAAAGATATGGATATGGTTGGAACCCCCCCCCCCCCCCCCCCCAGGGTTAGAATTCATAGAACAGAAAAGGGGCAGTGGCAAATATTTCTTGTATATTTTGAACACAGAGAGAATTACCCCGGCACCCTTTGCAAAAAAAACATTCTTTTTCTTATTTGTGCCTTCGGACTCTATGTTTTGAATTGTAGTTTCACTTTTCATATTCGGTATTTATTCAAATGTAAGCTCCGCGTGGTAAAAATCACGTGATGCAGGAATATAGTATCTTGGAGTTTGGCTATTTCTTTCTTTTCGGGCGGGGACTCCAAGCAAACAACATGCATTGAAGACCCAATGGTGGCCTTCGGCTGTTGTCTGCTCTATGGTCGGGTTGTTGTCTCTTTGACACATTCCCCATTTCTATTCTCAATTTTATGTGTATAACGGCACTGCAGATTTTCGTATTAAATAAAGAAATTTGCCGGTCCGGTACATGAATAGATTGGTTAGACAGCAAGGTTTTAATTTTAATTAATTAGATTGGAAAGCTTAATTCGAGGGTTGAAAATAGAGAGCACAAAAAAAAGGGGGGGGGGGGGGGGGGGGGGGGGGGGTGTTCCACAGGAAATATTTTTATCTTATGAACTCTACATTTGAAAGGTTTATTATTTTTTTTTATTTAATCAAAAAAGAGAAAAACAAATGTGAGACAAATTGTGAATGGTCTTTCTTCCTTTCTCCCGTGGATCCGCCTCTGAAACTAGTCAGCTTGGAATGAGTTAAAACAATGATGAACGAATTATAAAACATGAAAGGGAAACTTTCTGGTATTTATAAATTCATTTGTCATTATACTGTCTAAATTAACTGACTAGAAATATTGAGGAATGACAAACAATATAATAAAATTTATATATATCAGGGAGCTATAAATGAGAAAAAAAACAAAAGAAATAAATACATTTTCAGTTAACTTGGTCTCCAGTTGTTTTATATTAAATACCTTGTATTTTTGTATTCTACAGTGCAAATCAAAGGACAAAAAATATCTGGTAGCAGCAATACAACATGAATATTCGGCGAAATTTTCAACAAACTTTAACAAATTCTATTCAAAAATAATAAATACCTAACAACAAAATAAAATAAAAAATCAGGGCGAATAGGTATTAGGGCGAACAGGTACTAGGACGAACGTGAATCAGGGCGAACGGACCCAGATTCTTCATATTTGCACTGATGTCAATAAGAGGATATTTCACCCGTCCCTCTCCTATCCTAGCACTGATGTCAGAAAGATAATATTTCGATCGTCCCTCTCCTATCATAGCACTGATGTCAGAAAGGGGATATTTCGCACGTCCCTCTCCTATCCTAGCACCGATGTCAGAAAGATGATATATCGCCCTTCCCCCTCTTATCCTTGCACTGATGTCAGAAAGAGAATACGTCGCCATTCCCTCTCTTATCTTTGCACTGATGTCAGAAAGATGATATTTCGCCCATCCTTCTATCCTTGCACTGATGTCAGAATTGAAGACGATATTATACCCTACCCTCTCCTATCCGTGCAATATTAATATTCAACACACATAGGATTTTTTTTTGTTTAAAAACTACTATCACATAGAAAATTTTAAAAATTGCAAAATGCTCCAAACTTTCTATAAATTAACTGAATGATGTGTTGTAGCATATATGTGTATTCACCTGTTTGGAAAATTCAAAATTGCTTCAGTTTAGTGGCAATTGGCGAACGGGGGTGCCATCTGCAATTGCTCACCATTGTAAATCTAGTTCTTTTTGGTATCATATTTATTGTACCAGGACTATCTATTTCATATATAAAATGAAGTAAGAAGATTTGGTATCATCGCCCATATGACAACTATGCTACAGAAACCCAACGACAATTATCCTATAGAGACCACAAGACAACTACCCTACAGAGACCACAAGACAACTATCATACAGAGACCACATGACAACTATCCTACAGAGACCACAAGACAACTATTCTATAAAGACCACATGACAACTATGCTACAGAGACCAAACGACAACTATCCTATAGAGACCACAAGACAGCTATCCTACAGAGACCACAAGACAACTATCCTACAAAGACCCAACGACAACTATCCTATATATAGAGACCACAAGACAACTATCCTACAGAGACCACATGGCAACTATCCTACATAGACCACATGACAACTATCCTATAGAGACCACAAGACAACTATCCTACAGAGACCACATGACAACTATGCTAGAGACCCAACGACAACTATCCTATAGAGACCACAAGACAACTATCATACAGAGACCCAACGACAACTATCCTATAGAGACCACAAGACAACTATCCTACAGAGACCACAAGACAACTATGCTACAGAGACCACAAGACAACTATCCTACAGAGACCACAAGACAACTATCCTATAGAGACCCAACTACAACTATCCTATAGAGACCCAACGACAACTATCCTATAGAGACCACAATACAACTATTATACAGAGATCACATAACAACTATGCTACATAGACCCAACGACAACTATCCTTTAGAGACCACAAGACAACTATCCTACAGAGACCACAAGACAACTATCCTACAGAGACCACAAGACAACTATCCTACAGAGACCCAACGACAACTATCCTACAGAGACCCAACGACAACTATCCTATAGATACCCGACGACAACTTTCCTACAGAGACCCAACGACAACTATCCTACAGAGACCACATAACAACTATGCTACAGAGACCCAACGACAACTATCCTACAGAGACCACATGACAACTATATCCTACAGAGACCACATGACAACTATATCCTACAGAGACCACATGACAACTATCATATAGAGAGAGACCACAAGACCATTATCCTGCAGACACCTCATGATAACTATCCTACAGAGACCACATGTCGTGACGAAGATGTAAGCAACTAAAGTAATACGGCTTTCAACAATGAGCAAAACCCATACCGTATAGTAAGTGATCTTAAAGGGTCCGACGTAAATAAATGTAAAACTATTCAGTGGCGGATACAGGGATAAAAGGGGGGTCGGGGGTTGGAACCCCCATCTTTTTTTGACGATCAATGCTTTTGAATGGGGATATATGGTTGGAATCCCCCCTTAATCCTGGGTTGGAATCCCCCTTTTAGAAAATGACTGGATCCGCCCCTGATATTACAACGAGAAAAGTCAATAGCATGGTTTATGGTTTATTGTCCGGGTTTGGTTTTACTTTTGGTCCTTTTTTTTTGCTTTAATCATTGCTTCATCGTTTGTATTAGGTTTTTCATTTCCAAACATTTTGGCATCGAGTATCACTGAGGAGACATGGAAATGAAATGTGCATATGGTGCAGTAAAGTTGGTAGGGTTAATGTTATTGTAATGTCAGGTCTTTTATTTTCCAGGATATCCTCTCCTTAATGTTATTGTAATGTCAGGTCCTTTATTTTCTAGGGTATCCCCTCCTTAATGTTATTGTAATGTCAGATCCTTTATTTTCCATGATATCCCCTCCTTAATGTTGTTGTAATGTCAGATCCTTTATTTTCCAGGATATCCCCTCCTTAATGTTATTGTAATATCAGATCCTTTATTTTCCAGGATATCCCCTCCTTAATGTTATTGTAATGTCAGATCCTTTATTTTCCAGGATGTACCCTCCTTAATGTTATTGTAATGTCAGATCCTTCATTTTCCAGGATATCCCCTCCTTAATGTTATTGTAATGTCAGGTCCTTCATTTTCCAGGATATCCCCTCCTTAATGTTATTGTAATGTCATGTCCGTTATTTTCCAGGATAACCCCTCCTTAATGTTATTGTAATGTCAGATCCTTTATTTTCCAGGATATCCCCTCCTTAATGTAAATGTAATGTCAGATCCTTTATTTTCCAGGATATCCCCTCCTTAATGTTATTGTAATGTCAGATCCTTTATTTTCCAGGATATCCCCTCCTTAATGTTATTGTGATGTCTGGTCCTTTATTTTCCATGATATCCCCTCCTTAATGTTATTGTAATGTCAGATCCTTTATTTTCCAGGATATCCCCTCCTTAATGTTATTGTAATGTCAGATCCTTTATTTTCCAGGATATCCCCTCCTTGATGTTATTGTAATGTCAGATCCTTTATTTTCCAGGATATCCCCTCCTAAATGTTATTGTAATGTCTGGTCCTTTATTTTCCAGGATATCCCCTCCTTAATGTTATTGTTATGTCAGATCCTTTATTTTCCAGGATATTCCCTTCTTAATGTTATTGTAATGTCTGGTCCTTTATTTTCCAGGATATCCCCTCCTTAATGTTATTGTAATGTCTGGTCCTTTATTTTCCAAGATATCCCCTCCTTAATGTTATTGTAATGTCAGATCCTTTATTTTCCAGGATATTCCCTCCTTAATGTTATCGTAATGTCAGATCCTTTATTTTCCAGGATATCCCCTCCTAAATGTTATTGTAATGTCAGAACCTTTATTTTCCAGGATATCCCCTTCCTTAATATTATTGTAATGTCAGATCCTTTATTTTCCAGGATATCCCTTCCTTAATGTTATTGTAATGTCAGGTCTTTTTTTTTCCAGGATATCCCCTCCTTAATGTTATTGTAATGTCAGAACCTTTATTTTCCAGGATATCCCATCTTTAATGTTATGGTAATGTCAGGTCCTTTATTTTCCAGGATACCCCCTCCTTAATGTTATTGTAATGTCAGATCCTTTGTTTTCCAGGATATCCCCTCCTTAATGTTATTGTAATGTCAAATCCTTTATTTTCCAGGATATCCCTTCCTTAATGTAATTGTAATGTCAGATCCTTTATTTTCCAGGATATCCCCTCCTTGATAATATTGTAATGTCTGGTCCTTTATTTTCCAGGATATCCCCTCCTTAATGTTATTGTAATGTCAGATCCTTTATTTTCCATGATATCCCCTCCTTAATGTTATTGTAATTACTGGTCCTTTATTTTCCAGGATATCCCCTCCTTAATGTTATTGTAATGTCAGACGCTTTATTTTCCAGGATATCCCCTCCTTAATGTTATTGTAATGTCTGGTCCTTTATTTTCCAGGATATCCCCTCCTTAATGTTATATTGTAATGTCAGATCCTTTATTTTCCAGGATATTCCCTCCTTAATGTTGTTGAACATACTCATAAAGAATCTGTATATGTTTTGCCAACACTTGACATTATAGATTAACAACAAAAAACAACATTACACAAAACAAAACAAAAACAATCGTTTAAACATGTTTTTGGAATTATCTTTATCACAGTACCTGCTCGTAATCAAATGTTTGGAATGTCAAATATATTGATGTTGATAAAATGATATATTGCATAAAAGAAATGCTTTTAAATAGTTAAATAAGAAAACAAAAAACCCCAAAACATAGCTCAGATTTTCAATTTGTAGGCAAATGTGAATGTTACCTCGAACATGTGAAAATGGAAACGACAGCCAGTTTGAAATGTTTTATCACTTACAGATGACAAATAACATATTTGTAAAGTATAATTCTAATATGACGTGCTTCTTTCGCTTTGTAAACAACAGCCATGCGCGTAGCTACGTTAACGTCAAAACGCCCGGGCGTACACATAAATTTGAAGAAAAAAATATTTTAACCCTAATAAATCAAAAGAACTGATTAAAAGCACACGAGCATTGTAATTCTTTCTTCAATGACTTGTAATTGAAGATAAAAGACAAACTGATGAAAGTAGAAGGTCCGGTAACGGCTAGTTTTGGCCTAAAATTCGAAGTACATCTGATGAAAGATTTTTGAGATTTTTTAAACACTTAAGTGTCTATTTCAGTCGATTCAATTAGTTTATGTAATAGGATTTGAAATGGTTTGGTCATTAAAGACGCTGAAATTCAACCTTAAATATGAAAAATCTATCAAATATGCCATTAAACGTCACTTTTCAGATAGTTTTTGTCTAAAATGTAAGTGGCCGCATTCATGTTCAGTCTCAACCTTTATATATGTTATGTATAACCATCAAATACAACATATATTTGACAATTAAGACTGAACACAAATGCGGCCACTTCCATTTTAGACAAAAACCGTCTTAAAATTAGCACAAATGTGCATTGTATTGTCAAAAACAGCCCATATTTATGGAACAAAAGTATTCTACTTTCCAATAAATAGCTAAAAGTTTACATTAATTCTATAAATTTTAAAAAATGCTATATTTTGGGGCCAAAAAAGGGTCTTACCGGGCCTACTGATTTACTTCTTAATCAATTGGTATCACATTATTTTTATATACTTTTTGGTCATATAGCTCTGCAACTGTTTCGGTTCTTATACATCCTCGGATTTCAAATATTCGGCTTTGAACGTTCCTGATGAAGGTAAATCTAGAAAAGCGATTCGGACGCATGAAATTAATAATGTGTTGCTTTAATTTTTTACAGCACTGGGTCGATACCTCTGCTGGTTGACTATCAGTCCCCAAGGGTAACATCAGCTCAGTAGTCAGTAGTTCGGTACTGACATGATTTATAACAAACCATTCTAAAATGTTTTAACTCCTTCAGGCAAAGTTGACCTTAGATGAATTTGACTAATTTGTAGGTACTTTTTGGTCATATAGCTCTGCAACTGTTTCGGTTCTTATGCATCCTCGGCTTTCAAATAGTCGGCTTTGAATGTTCCTGGTGAAGGTAAATCCAGAAAAGCGCTTTGGACACATGAAATTAATAACGTGTTGTTTTCATATTTTATATGATATATTCGTCCATTTTCTGTCAAAGTCTGATTCTACTGTGCATTCTACAGTTTACTATTGTTTAGATCAATTCATTATCTGCTGAGGTACGATGTGGTTTGCATTTTTATGTTACAGTTCAATATTTATTTTACGTTACACCTGACCATCTATGAGAATTAATTAGGACATGTGTCTATTACTGAAATTTGAATTTGAAGGTGAGTAAATTAAATAAGGTAAAAAAATTAATAGAATGACAACATTAAAACGGAGACTTGCTTTTTTACTATCTCTTTAAAGTTTTGATTTTTTTGTTGATTGACTGTTTACCCCACATCTCCTTTTAGACATTTTAACGCAACTGGTTTGGACATTTTTCTCTTAATTAAATGTACATTATATACCAAATAAACACAAAATTGATAAATTTAACATTAAAAAACCCAACAAATTAGACTCTAAATGAGCAGAGAAAGATATCAAAGGGATATTCAAACTCATCAGTTTAAAACAAACTGACAATACCATGGCAAAAAATGAAAACTACGAAAAGGCAAACAACAGTATACAAAACACAACACCAAAACAAAAGACTGAGCAACATAGCCCACCAAAAATTGGGGGTGATCTCATGTATTCCGGAAGGGTAAGCAAATTCTGCTCCATGTGTGGCACCCGTCGTGTTGCTGATGTATGTACAAACCCAATGATAAGTCTAATTCCGTAGGTCACATTCGAGGAAAAGAGCTAGGACGGGATTGTGGTAATATCAAAATTTGAACATATCTGTCGTCATTAGCAATCAGTGAAACAGATATTCCATAACGGTCAACCTACTCGTGATGTCGACCGTAAAATTTTCGAAGCCGGGGATGATTGCAACTTCACCACTTGGAACTCTTCACTTGGTTCAGTAGCTTCCTTTTAAGCATGCAGCAACCATCTATCAAGGAAATAATGATAGGAAATGCAAGCTCTTGAATGTCTTATCAACTGGGAGGTTTATAATCCATATGCAGGTGCTGCTGGAATGTTGCTACATAGAAAAGAAAAGTTCACGATTGGAAGCTGAAATCATCTCTTTTATCGTAAAGTTTTGTTCTTATATCGATCAAGTATGTTGCTATTGATATGAGTTTTTAATGACAGATATTGGTATCTTTTTCGCAATAATGCGTGAACTTCCGGGGGGTTTCGCGACCTACCAGAAGGTCTCCTGCCCTGGACCAGCTTAGTGGACCTCGAACCTCTCGATGTGATTCGGGCGTACACTTAAAAATTGCCTAGCTACGCCACTGGCTTGTGGTTAACCTTAATACTTTATAAACAATCGTGGTTTCTTTGAAAGAAAGGATTTTGTTTACAACGAGGAATCTAACCAAGGGAAAATTAGGCAATAGCGCATGCTCTTAACCATCTAATAAAATGTTCAAGATAAGTAAAGCCTTTATCCCAAGTGCGTATCCATGATTTTAAAAAGGGCATCCCCTGGCAAGTCAACGTTAGGAGTGGGATTTGTAAAAAGTCTAAACCACCACCACCACCCCTTCCCCCCAAATCCACCTCTCTATCCTGCTACCGAGGAAATCTTGCTCCATAAATAGATGGAAAGTTATTATGGAGAAATTGAGACCATTTCCTTTGACGTAAAACTTCTCAATCAAGTCCCGCTGTCGATTTCTAAATGTTGTTTTCAATTTATTTTTATTTCGTTAGTGTGTTCTATACGTTTATCTTATTTTGTGGTAGTCGTATATTAAATATGGGGAAAATATGGAACCACGTGATCTACTTTCACTTTAAAACAGAAGTAGGCTCAGAGTACACAAACACACACTTGTAACTTCTATTCAGCAATCATGGATCTTGTTCGCGTATTGGAAACCTATAGAGGACATGACAGAATTATACGACTCAGTACCTATGTTTGTATGTTTGTAAGCGGTGACAGAAAGGGATTAGCTTTTGATCGGATCCGCGCTATTGCTACAGATCTAGGTGCTTGCAGAGTAATCCTAAGATTATTTGATGACTTGCCAATGTTATTTTACAATCTTTCGTATGGAACTGGGAGTAAGGTAAGAATTTATAAAAGGTCAAGAAATAGGACGTGTGAAATTCTGACAAAGGTCAGTATGTAGGACACATTGCAATTGTTTAATTAGGATTTTATTGCTAATGATTGTGAGAAAGTCTGAGATTGACATAATTCTTTATTTAATTTTAAGATAAGTGTTTTGCTTTGTTTAAAAAAATATGGTAATACTTGAAAATATAACTTATAAATAGAAAACTGATTTTTAGTCTGTGTTGATCTGTTAATTGATGTTAGAAAATGACCTTGTTCTATATGTTAAATGAAAATTAATAATTTTGCCCAATACGGGGTGAAAAAAGAATATTCTGCAACACAAAATGCAACCATTTGCAGGAAATAATTGTGTCCAAGTAGAAAATAAGCGAATCTCCCATGCCTCCAGTACGTGTCGACTATATTATTACATTATATAAATAAAATCATCGCTGAATCGAGTAGAACCACAGGTGCGAGACAATATTTTTTTAAATATATGTATAATTACTAAATACACTAACGTTAATACTGAAAATACTGAATACACTAACGTTAGTTAGTGTATTCAGTATTTTCAGTATTTTCAGTTATCAGTATTTATACATATATATTATAAAAAGATATCTCGTCTCGTACCTGTGATTAGAACTGTGTGGTTATACTTTCAATAACAACATCAACCTGACATGCTGATTCAATTTTTAATAGTCTAAATCTAATCTATCTCATCTGTAAACCCTCTTTGTAGAGTAACGCTATTTAATACATATGAAAACATGGTTCCTGTAAGATGTTTAGACGTAAGTTGAATACATAGTCCGGCACCGAAACGAAAAAGGTAGCATAATGAGAAAACTATTGAAAATGAATTTTATAAGTCTTGGTGACTCATCACTCCACTTTGGAACGTGTCAAATCCACATGCTTCCACTACGTTACAGTCAACTAAATAACTCTTGTTACCAACCATCGTTACGTAGTGGCATGGTGGATTTAGGGGTGGTGGAGCTACATATATATGGTTATATAATGCCTAAACTTTTCCCACTCCTAACGTTGCCTTGGTGAGCGCCCCCCCTTTTTTTCCCCCGCCCCAGTCATACTAGTACACACATAGTACTCTCAGTATGAGTTGACAAAGTTCTCTGCTATACATTTACATGTGTTTATCACCGTGCATTTTTGTTGAGGTGATTCATGTTATACTTCATTATAAATCAGTTCTATCCAAGAACAATAAGGGACTGGAACGCACTACCACTCACCACCACCAGTGCAGGTAGTCTTGAATCATTTTCAAGACTCACCTACATGAGACGATCTAGACCACCGTCCAGGATGTTTTAACCTTACTGTATATAGAATGTATAGCACACATCCTCAAATTATCTTTCTATGAAATATTTACATGCGCATCAAAAAGTGGCAAAATAATCAGTATATTGATGGTGGCCGCATAATGGTAGAAGTAGAAGTAGAAGAAGTACTTAAATGTGTACTTTCTCCATCTATATAAGTACATTTGTGTACTACGTATTCATTCGTCTTATTTTTGATTAATGTGTCTTTTTGTCTCCTATTAACAATGGTAAGTTAATGTTCATGTAGATTATTTTAATACAAGTTAATTTATCAAACGAACTGCATTATATTTTGACATTCAAACGTAAAAGTAATACATATACCAATTATTTACAATGTTTGCGGATTTTTAAAATGTTTGTAAATAGTTTTGGTTGGTAAAAAACGTATATCATGTATGTAAAAGGCCAGGGGTGAAATTTGGTACTGGATGAAAAACACAAAATGATTTTTTTCTCTAGTGTGTCATAAAATAACAATTTAGGGAAAATTATAACATCACTGGTTGACATTTGTGTTTAAGAAAAAAACCCAGAATACTTCTAAACCGAAAAGCGGTTTAAATTGAAAGTCAATTGACAGCCTGGAACAGAAATTACATTAATAGCAAAACCCCGCATCTGTATTTTTCTACGCGCAGACGGTGCATAATCGACATTTAGCAATACATTCCACTCAAGCCGGTGACAGGGACTGGCTATAACTTTCAGATTTTTGATAATAGTTTTCCACTTGTAGGCTAAACTTTGTATTTGAGACCAAGAACAACTAAACTGTGCTATGTTTGCAGTGATAGGGGGGTGCCGTGTGGGTTTTGAGGATTTCTGTCATGAATATCTTTTCCATTACGTTAGCTTTGTGTGACCACATAATGTGTGTAGGGATATTATTTTTTGTGATACTTCGCACCTTGCTTCCTCTTGGAATATTTGATGTGATATGATAGTGTAACTCTCCTGGGAGAACAAATTTAGTTTCGGTAGTATACTTAGTGTTATGTGATATGATAGTGTAACCTTCCTGGGAGAAACAATTTAGTTTCGGTAGTATCCTTAGTGTTAAGTTTACTGGAATATTTGATGTGATATGATAGTGTAACTCTCCTTGGAGAAACAATTTAGTTTCGGTAGTATCCTTAGTGTTAAGTTTACTGGAATATTTGATGTGATATGATAGTGTAACTCTCCTGGGAGAAACAATCTAGTTTCGGTAGTATCCTTAGTGTTAAGTTTACTGGAATATTTGATGTGATATGATAGTGTAACTCTCCTGGGAGAAACAATTTAGTTTCGGTAGTATCCTTAGTGTTAAGTTTACTGGAATATTTGATATGATATGATAGTGTAACTCTCCTGGGAGAAACAATTTAGTTTCGGTAGTATCCTTAGTGTTATGTGATATGATATTGTATCTCTCCTGGGAGAAACAATTTAGTTTCGGTAGTATACTTAGTGTTAAGTTTACTGGGATATATGAGATGTAAGCTCTTACTGAAATGCGGATATTGAGTGACAGAACGTCATCGATATCTAGAACTGATATTTTAAAACAAGATATGTTTTTTTTCTTTCTTTTTTCTTGTTGACACTTCGGTTGATAAATCGTGAATTGGTAACTCAATGTAAGATATGAGCAAAATAAAACAAAAACTGAAACAAAATACAAGACTTTTCTGAGTAAATACTAGACACACATTTATCTTTTGCCTATTGGAAATCTAAACATATCTTTATTTTATAAAGTTTAAATGAAGTCATAATTATCTTTATCTGTTTGATAAAAGATCACGATCACAAGGGTTAATATGTAGAACGTACAAATATTAAATTAAGATCAGTGTTTTATTGTCGAGCCTTCGACTTTTGTCGAAAAAGCGAGACATAGCGATCCTACATTCCGTCGGCGTCGTCGGCGGCGTCCACAAATATTCACTCTGTGGTTAAAGTTTTTGAAATTTTAATAACTTTCTTAAACTATCCTGGATTTCTACCAAACTTGGACAGAAGCTTGTTTATGATCATAAGATAATATTCAAAAGTAAATTTTGTAAAAAAAAAATTCCATTTTTTCCGTATTTTACTTATAAATGGACTTAGTTTTTCTGCCAAGAAACATTACATTCACTCTGTGGTTAAAGTTTTTGAAATTTTAATAACTTTCTTAAACTATCCTGGATTTCTACCAAACTTGGAAAGAAGCTTGTTTATGATTAAAAGATAGTATCCAGAAGTAAATTTTGTAAAAAAAAAAATCCATTTTTTCCGTATTTTACTTATAAATGGACTTAGTTTTTCTGCCAGTTAATATTACATGCACTCTGTGGTTAAAGTTTTTAAAATTTTAGCAACTTTCTTAAACTATCCTGGATTTGTACCAAACTTGGACAGAAGCTTGTTTATGATTAAAAGCTAGTATCTAGAAGGAAATTTTGTTAAAATTTTGTTAAATTTTTTCCGTATTTTACTTATAAATGGACTTAGTTTTTCTTCCAGTTAACATTACATACAGTCTGCAGTTTAAGTTTTTAAAACATTTATTAGATTCATAAACTATCCTGGATTTGTACCAAACTTGGACAGAAGCTACTTACAATCAAAAGATGGTATAGAAAGGAATATTTTTATTAATTTTTTCCTCATTTTTGTTGAGCCTGCGATTAACAGCAAAAGTAGGCGAGACACTGGGTTCCGCGGAACCCTTACGAATTTTAGTAAAAAGGAAGTCAAATCTGATTCCTCGTGCATAGAAAGAATTCCACAAATTTATAAACCGACAACACCATGACAAACACGAAACACAAAACGACGAAAAGACAAACAGTAGTCTACATAACACTACACACAACACTAACAACTGAGCAACACTAACCCCACCACACTACATAGAACACTAACAACTGAGAAACACTAACCCCACCACACTACATAGAACACTAACAACTGAGCAACACTTACCCCATCACACTACATAGAACACTAACAACTGAGCAACACTAACCCCACCACAACACTAACAACTGAGCAACACTAACCCCACCACACTACATAGAACACTAACAACTGAGCAACACTAACCCCACCACACTACATAGAACACTAACAACTGAGCAACACTAACCCCACCACACTACATAGAACACTAACAACTGAGAAACACTAACCCCACCACACTACATAGAACACTAACAACTGAGCAACACTTACCCCACCGCACTACATAGAACACTAACAACTGAGCAACACTAACCCCACCACAACACTAACAACTGAGCAACACTTACCCCACCACACTACAAAGAACACTAACAAATGAGCAACACTAACCCCACCACACTACATAGAACACTAACAACTGAGCAACACTAACCCCACCACACTACATAGAACACTAACAACTGAGAAACACTAACCCCACCACAACACTAACAACTGAGCAACACTAACCCCACCACACTACAAAGAACACTAACAACTGAGCAACACTAACCCCACCACACTACATAGAACACTAACAACTAAGCAACACTAAACCCACCACACTACATAGAACACTAACAACTGAGCAACACTAACCCCACCACACTACATAGAACACTAACAACTGAGCAACACTAACCCCACCACACTACATAGAACAGTAACA